ATCTAAACCCATCTTCAGAATGCAACATGTTTCCATGACTTCCTTAACCTCATGAGTGGAAATGAGGATGGGGTGGAATAACATGGTTCTTACTCTGCACTAATTAATTCCCAAATAGAACAGTTCTGGCACAGATTACAAGCGCGATGCACTGCAGAAATGTACATCAATTAACACTGAAAACTTGATTTAACTGAATTGAATTATTTTATTTTATTTGGTTCATATTCACTTATTGCATGTGACCTCTCCCCATCATAAGAAATCTATTTCTTTTGGCATGTAATTTTCTCTAGTACATAATTTTATAGTGTTCCACAGAAAATGTTTCTTTGGTGGTTTTTGCGTACCCTATTTTGTGTAAACTTTCTAATAAGAATCCTCTCTATTGGTGGATCATGTCATTTTACTCTAAAAGAAAACCATGTTGTCAGCTTCAGGCTTCTATATCCCTGGAATGATCCCCCTAGTCCCCTTCTGGTGTAGGATATTCTGTGGATTAGCCCAGAGGCCCCCAACCTTTTGGGCACCAGGGACTGGTTTTGTGAAGAGAGGTTTTTCCACGGACCAAAAGGTGTATGATTTTGTGTGCTGCCTGCATCCCGCGGATGGGGCTTTGTTTGTGCAGACCGGTTGTTGGCATGCTGCAGCCTGGTACCGGTCCATGGACCGGGGGTTGGGGACCCCTGGATTAGCCTACTTATTTCATGTGACAAGCTCACCAGAGGATCTGAGTAAGTGTTTACTACTTGTTTCAGTTCGGAGATTATTCATTATCTCTGCTGAAGAATATTCATAGTTCATTTCATAGCAGAAGGAGACATCTACTTCTTCTGAGAGAATATAATTAAAAAAATCCCCAAATAAAGTATTAAGATACAGAAAGAATTCCCATAAGACAACTATGATACCATATACCAAAATAGCAATTCTATACCTTTGAGTTTTCATTCTAATCACATATCAACATGCATTCAAGACTTACTTAAAAGAACACAGTGGAGTTGATGCGTGTGGATGTGTTTGTGTTTCTACTTCTGAAATCCATCTTGAGCGTATGCCTGAACAGAACTTCTCAAGTTTAACTGATATGTGTCATTAGCAAGTTCTGGAGGTTCTTGTCATATCTTAAGAGGCATGTAAGAGCAGTAATACCCCATTTAGCCCTATAGTAAATAATAGCATACAGTCAGATGAAGCAACATCTAGAAGAGGGTGCTATTGATGCGAGAAACCAATAACCACAATGAAAGTTGGCATTAATTTGTGTTGATCTTATGCCTAGCCTTCATCCCTCAGTGATTTTGAAGTAGAGACTGACAGGGGCTTAGTCAAAGGTCATGCCTATTCAGTGACATCTATCCTGAAAATGTCTGTTGGACAGAAGCACCTGTGCGTTGGAAAGTCTAAGAAATTCTTCATGATCCGATTAAGGAATCCTTGGGGAAACAAGGAATGGAATGGAGCATGGAGTGATGAGTAAGTAATCCATATTTTAAGAATGAGAAGAAGCATTAGAATCAAGATGATGTGAAGTGTTAATACCACTTTATAATGCCTTGGTAAGACCACACTTGGAATATTGCATCCAGTTTTGGTCGCCACAATATAAAAAAAAGATATTTAGACTCTAGAATGTATGCAGAGAAGAGCGACAAAGATGATTAGGGGACTGAAGGATAAAACATATGAAGAACGGTTGCAGGAATTGGGAATGTCTGGTCTAGTGAAAAGAAGGACTAGGGGTGGCATAATAGCAGTTTTCCAATATCTCAGGGGTTGCCACAAAGAAGAGCGAGTCAAGCTATTCTCCAAAGCAGCTGAGGGCAGGACAAGAAGCAATGAATGGAAACTAATCAAGGAAAGAAGCAACCTAGAAGAAAGGAGAAATTTCCTGACTGTTAGAACAATTAATCAGTGGAACAACTTGCCTCCAGAAGTTGTGGGTGCTCCAACACTAGACGTTTTTAAGAAGAGATTGGACAACCATTTGTCTGAAATGATATAGAGTTTCCTGCTTGAGAAGGGGGTTGGACTAGATTACCTCCAAGGTTCCTTCCAACTCTGTTGTTCTGTTATTAGTTTCTAGCTTTGAATGAATTACAGGGTCCTTGTAAAGTTACTCGCCAACATGAAAGAAAATATTTAGATGTGGAAACAAAATGAAAAACCTGTATAGTGAAGTCGGTTTAAGATATCAAAATAAATAAATAAATATTAAGATATTTATTTTCCTTAATGATTATGATGAAGGGAGGAAAGAATATTTAGATATTTGCAGAAGACACAAACACTGGATAGACATAGCATATGGTAGAAAACAGGGGAACAAGTCAAAATGATCTTAATGCGTTAGAGAAGGAGGCTGGAAAAAGCAGAATGAAATTCAGTATATATGAATATTACCCACTTAAGAAACAAAAATATGGTAAATGTAGAGGATGAGAGGTGCTTTATCTGCTAAAAGAGTTTGTGAAAAGAATCTTGAAATAGAAGTAGACTCCAAACTGAATATGAACCAGTTGTATGATATGACTGCAAAAAAAAAAAAAATCTAATGCAATCTCACTCTCCACAAAAGTAGTTTAAATTAAATCAATTGTTCTGTCAAATTCTCCACTGCTTAACACCAACTCAAGTACTTTGTCCAGACCTGGGTATGGCATCTTAAGAACTATTCTGTTGTTCAGTTTCTCTGATTTTTTTTCTTAAAATGCCATATTCAAGTCTGGACACAAGTTGGTGTTAAGCAATGGAGAATTTGATGGAACCATTAATTTAACTTAAACTCATCTCAACTACCTTTGAACATCAGGTTCAAAGAAAGGCTGAAGAATACATGTTATGAGAAGAAGGAAGGATTTGTGCCAGTTCAAACTGCAGATATCAATTTTTTTTATCAACTCATTCAAGTTTATCCAAGTTTCTAATTTATTTTTTTCCCGTCAGCTCTCCTTCAAGGGCAGACTTTTGATAGCCCACCGAAAAGACAGCAAGTTTTTTTCCGTAGGTTCCTTTTATAAAATTTATTGGAGAGACTAGGCTCAAGTTGCAGAAATTTCAGCAAATGCATTACTTTCCCTTTTGGAGCCCAATTTATCCTTCAACTAGCGTAGCTGAACATTCGGCGCGCTTGTATTTTAAAAAATGGATAAAATAGGCATTTAGCTTTTTTCCCCTTTCTTTTTTTAGGTCTGAGGAATGGAAAAAAGTGAGCAAATCGGAGCGCATAAGATTAGGTCTCACCCTTGAAAATAATGGAGAATTTTGGTGAGCTCAATTACTCAATCCATGTCCATATCATATTTAGTTTTGCTTCCAATAATCCTTAGTGATATTATCTTCTCTGCACAAGAAACTATTTTTTTCCTGGTACAAATTCCCATCTTTCTTTCTTTCTTTCTTTCTTTCTTTCTTTCTTTCTTTCTTTCTTTCTTTCTTTCTTTCTTTCTTTCTTTCTT